CAAAAGATTAAGCCTCATCAAGTCAAACATTCCTGCTAATGCAGTGTCGGGACAAGTCAGCAGGGAACAAGAGCCTGGGCTGCTGTGCACAGCTGTTGCAAGACCAAACTATGGAACATTCGGTTTTGACTCACTGATCAAAACCATTTTGGAAATTGGCTTGTGTGAGTTGTTTTTCTTTGTTGTTTTTTTCTTGTGTGTGTGTGTGTTGTTTTTTTTTTTTGTTTGTTTGTTTCTTTTTTTTTCCCCCAGAGTGAATTTCTCTCCACTGAAATAACTTCTTCATTGTGCACAGGAGTCCAGACTTCATTTCCAGTGTGAATATCCTGCCTCTGTTTGGTTGTTGTAATACAAGTTCCAAATGCAAATAAGTTACAATTAATGGACCAATGGAAAAATATAACTGAGCACAGAAACAGCAGAGAGATCTTTGGAGGTTCCTTCCGACCTCTGCCATTCTGTGATCTGACCACAGTACTTTGTGCTCTGATAGTCTGGATTTTAATTCTGTACCTGAAAAAAGTTATCCCACATTCTATCTTTGGAATGGTAGGGGAAAATCCAAGTAAGAATATTAAAAGGGAAACAATACTGTTTTTTGTTGCTGTTGTTTTGTTTTTATTATTATTTTTTTATTCCCTGGGAAGAGTGATAAGAATATCAAAATCCATGCAAAGGTAACTAAAGGTCTGGCACTGATAACCCTTGGATTCTTCTTCAGTGAACTTTACTTGCAGCAGTGGTTTCTAGACAAGAGAAGAAGAAGAAAAAAAAGAGAGAGAAAACAAGCTATTTGAATAACTCTTGACAAATATCAGTGACAATTTTCTAGCAACTACTTATGTTATGGAAATCTACTCAAAGAAATTGAACAGCTCAGGAATAAGCTTAGCATTGGTTGACTAATTAGGGTACCTGCAGGTGCCTTTATACCTTGTGTCCTACTTGTTAAGATCATACCTGTCTATCTGAATGCTAATCACACCAAGAAACAAAAGTCCTTTTAGCATCTCTTTGGGAACAGATTCCCTTCCAGAACTAGAACTAATTTAGATTGCTGTGACTCTTTCAGAAGTATGTTTGCATGCCATGTGGACACTCAGCTAAGAGCATTTCTAAGACCAGTGCTTCGTCTTGCATTTCCAATTCAATTTTTTCCTTCCCCTCTACACAGTTCCAGCAAGTTACATTTCCTGAGCAGATCTAGCAGGACAACCCTCATGCTGATGCTTCTATGAAAATAGGAATGCCTGGTGTTGGTGGTCTCTTAAAGGAAATGCTTAACAGTGTGATAAGGACCACCAGCTCCTCCATTGATTCTGGGCAGAGGTAAAGGCATTCACCACCTGTAAGTCTTCGGATGTTGTGGGAAAATGGAAGTTTTTTAGCCTTGGCTGTTTCACTGTGGGAGTCTTGTAACTGCTTGAACTTAAAATACCTCATCCCAATGTCAGAGAGCCAGAAACACAGTGCACTGGAATATATTTCCTTAAAGTGACTGTGCCCATGTTGGATCTCAAGTAGTGAGTTTTGCTTTTTGCTTCAGTGGGAGGCGGGTTTGTCGTACCAGCTAAAATACCAGCTGTCCCCTGGGCAGCTCACAAGTAATGCCACTGTAGTAATGATTGGTGACAAAAGGAGCAGTCTGGCCTGCTTTTCTTCAGTGCTGCTTTGTTGCCCCTTCCTAGTGAGGGGACCACAGGAAATCCTGCCTTCCTAGAAAAATATCCAGTTTCCTCCTAAGACCCTGTGGAGCAGGCAGCTTGACATGACTGTGGGCATTTCTGAGCCAGGCAAATCGAAGAAGAATAACCTTTCAGAGGAAGTGGCCCAGGCCTCATTGTTTGAGGCACTGAGAGCTCCAGTGGACAAAAACCAGCTGGCTTGATCAAGTGTCAGTGACAGTCTGAGCAGGAGTGTTGGACCTGATTACCTCCAAAAGTTCCTTCTAACCAGTGTTTCTGTATTTCTGCTAAGTCATGTAATCAACAGCCTTTTTCCAATCTTTAAAATCAGAGCTTCTCTGATAAAACACTGTTAAGATTGTATTTAGCCCTGTTCTGTTTAGTAATATTTTTGAGGTTTAATTAAATGCACATGAAATTAAAGTATTGTTTTTATTGCAAGTTATGAAATAATCATGCTAGAATGTTTTGAGCAACTTTCAAGGAAGCTGAATTGTCATCACGTTAATACTCCCAATATAATCCTGTAACAAAATGCATCAAACTAAAGAATTTATATTCAATTTAATAGTACAATGAGAAATATGCTTATGGTTGAAGGCCTGTGACTTTGGTGACTCATCATTTAAACCTGTAAATGTAGCTGAAATATCTCCATGGTTCAGGTGGAAATGCAGCCTTCCAGAATTAAACAGGTTATTAAAGTTTCCCTCAGGTGGCAGATCTCATCCACGGTTGTTGAGATCAAAATTTTACCTCAGAGGAAAAGTAAATCTGAGGAAGACAGTGTACATAAAAATGTTTTTTTTTTTTTTTTTTTGTTTTTTTGTTTTCATAGAATCATAGAATCATAGAATATCCTGAGTTGGAAGGGACCCTTAAGGATCATCAAGTCCAACTCTTGACACCGCACAGGTCTACCCAAGTTCAGACCATTTTGTTTTGTTTTGTTTTGTTTTTGGTAGAGCTTTGTCTCCTAAATATATTGTGAAATTTAGATCCACCTATTACTTCTTCTGGTTCTGACTGATGGCCCTTGCTGTGCTGTGCTTCTGGGCTGAGATGGGCAAAATCCTGAAATGATGACCAAGTGTACTCAAGCTACACTAACTCGGGAAAAAAATCTTTAATTTTTTTCATAATATGATCATTTTCAGGGGGTTGTACACATGCAGAGGTTGGCCTGTGAAAGCCAATCTTCCCAGATTCTGTTTTTGGTCAATAGAGAGTAAACTCCCAAGCATACAGAGTAAAAAGTGATGAATCCGGGCAGAAGCCTGACTATACAGGGAGTCATTTTTAGCCTTTATGAGTACAATGGCTAGTGATCCAGGCAGTCCAGATATTTTACTAAAACTGTAGTGTGGCAGGGCAGGCTTAGCTCAAAATAATGTTCTTAACAGAGTGCAAGTCTCTTGGGTGCAGGCAGTTTATGTAAAATGCACATCCCTCAGTATGAAAGCTCCTCACTTCAGAACTCGATAGAGGCTTTGATTACACCATGTTTCTAATACCTGGTTTCCTTAAGAAACAGACCTAATACAGTGTTATCGAATCTGTTTTAGTTCACTATTGTTTCTCTTGTACAGGAAAAAAAAAATGAAACAATCATTTATTTTTTTTTAAATCAAAAAAATACTCTGTCTCCCACAGTAATTAAAACCAGAAAAACAAGAGCATCCTGGCAACTATATATTTAGAAAACCTTTAAATCTCTCTATGAAAATTGGTTGTTGGTTTCAAGCATTTCCTTTCATGCAAATCACTTGAACTAGAGAAATTAGGATCAGAAAAAAAATAATTGCTGTTGGATGATTATTATTTTCCATGATTCTGGGAGCATGCACAAAGTACAGGAAGTTTTCCAAACCAAGAAGAGGATATAGTCTCTGTTCCAAAGCACATGAGTGTAAGGAGGCAGAGAAGGGAAGAGAAAGGATGAAGCTGTAGTATGCAGAGCAGTTAGAGTAATACTAGCCATGCATTGGAAGCGTTATTACAGCTGGTAGAGAGTGATAACTTTCCTGGGGGAGAGGTAAATCATGTTTATTTTTGTTTAGTAAATAAATGTGTTTCATGGCCAAATGATGTGTTTTGTGAATGTGTTTCAAAGCCCAATGGCCAAATTATTTGGGAATGCATTTTCATTTTAGGATGCTATTTCTATTTTTTCCACATTTAGTTTAAGAAGGGGAAAAAAACTTTACAAATATATTTATAGCTTTCATCAAGATATTTTCTTGAGGAAAAAAAATCCATCTAAAAGTAACATGTATGAGATTTCAATAATTTCTGGTAGGTGCAGAAATATTCAAGCCTATTCCTAAGTGAGCAATTCACTTAGATCTGGGAAATGAAACAAACCAGATAATTGTACTCTAAACCCATGTTGCATTTGTTCAGAAGTTAGAAAAGTAGTTTGAACAGAAAACAAAACAAAAAACAGGTGTACAGTACACTTAAGAAAGTATGTAAGTAGCATCTTCCCTCATTACTTTGTCCTTGAAGATAAGTTATTTTTTTGCAGGTTTCTTTTCAGCTCAATGACTTTCTGGGTTGCTGCAAACTCTGCATAGTCCCTCTGGGTCTCACATGACCCAGTCATTCTCTTTTTAGGGGAACATGCCATATTAACATAAAGCAAACAACTCAAACGAATATGTTGTGTTACAGCTTGCAAAATGAAAGTCCTAGTTCAGCTGATTTCTTATGTTCTTCTTCCCACCATCTCAATTTCACATCTAGATCTTTGTTGTTTATTTAGAAGGTTACTGGTAGTAACTTTCCATTCTTCTAGTTAAATAGGAAGAGACACTTTTAACAATGCCTTTCCTTTATTGCCTGCTCATAAGAAGAATTGCTGCTTGAGACTCAAGTGAGCTTCACTTTTTAAGGTGGGTTTAAATGATGTTATGAGCAAGAGTTAGGAATTATGTGGAGAGTAGTGTGCTGGAGTCTATGCAGTGTTGATGGGGGTACATGTCACTGTTAGCAAGGTCTGTGATGAACATAAATCTCTACAGTGTGTTTCTGTTTCAATTTGCTATATCTTTATTTAGATATAATTTTAAGGTTTAATAAACAGAAGGAACAGGCCTAGATGTCCTGATATCTGACCCATGACCCTCTCCTGGCACATGGAATGTTTGGACAAGCATTTGGTTCAATTTTTCAAGATTTCATATATGATTGTAGTGTCAGAGAAGATGTGATTTTAATAAACAAAATGTTTCCTTAGGATAAAAGTTCTGATTTGTGGATTTTTATTTTTATTTTATTTTTTTATCATTGTTTCTTTCTTTCTTTGTTTTGCAGGAGGAAGGTATAGTGAAGGAAATAGACATCAGTCATCATGTGAAGGAAGGTTTTGAAAAAGCAGATCCTTCTCAGTTTGAGCTACTGAAAGTATTAGGACAAGGTTCATATGGAAAGGTAATTTTTAATGCCATCTAATCACCTAGAGCAATAATAAAAATATCATGTCCTTTCTCTGAGTTCATTTACACTGGTACCACTGTTTGTATATAAATTGTGTTGTAAAAGCAGATAAGCAAAACCAAATCTCTTCTGTCATTTTAATAGCACTTTTGTCTTTTGCTGTATTCCTATATATAAGAAGTTTATAGCTCTGGACCCAAAATAATGAGCACAAGTGAGCATTAATGAGCAACACTGTTTATGAAGTTAGACTCCTTCTTTCTGACCTATCCACTAGGGAGGTGAGCATACTACTGCTGCTTACTGGTAAGAACATTCAAAGGCTTAAAATGTTTGCTTCCCAATTTCTGCTAAGGGCAGATGGGATCCCAGGCATATTTTGAAGTCCCCATCACTTACCCTGCTGGTTACCCCATAGTGATTTTGTGAGAAATATTCCTTTCTCTAACTATTAGATATAAAGCAGTTCATAGTTGCAAGTTTTCATTTGTTAACCAGCAAACAATGTTTTCATTTTCTGTTTGATTTTGTTGCCCACAACAAAGATCTGTTTCCTAATGTAATTAATTGTTGAGTGTTTATGTAAGTGTATATGTATGTATACTATATATATAAACCATTTGCTGAAAAAAAAATAAGTATAAATGCCTACTTATATGACAACAAGCTAAGCTATGAAGAAACAATGTTTTTTGTCTTAAGTCCAAGGCTTTGCTTAATCCCAAAGGTCTTCTTCAACATGATGTGTCATTTGCAATTAAGAATAGGAAGGAAAGACAGAGAAAGAGGGAGGACTCAATTCAGTGTTAAACTCTTTCTATGGATTAACTAAGTAAGACTTTGGAACTTGCAGAATGGTGAGCCTAATTTACACTAGAAATGGAAGCACTTACCATTTTAGCTATTTTATATATATGTATATATTTAACGCTTCTCAGCCTTCAGAGGTGGATCATTCCAGCCAACTTGAAGAACTGGCTCCTACCTAAAATCTGCTGAGGCATCCAGCACAAAGCTGAATACCATGACAATGAATCAGGGTCCTCACTTTTACTGATGAATAAAGATATATGAGGAGTACTAAGCAGCTTTCCAAGTATTCCAGAACTGTATTGATAAGTAAGGCTGTTAGGAGATCCCTGAGATGAGAGAAATCAGGAGAGTTAGCATTCACTACAAAGTTTTACTCTAGAGAATTGTTTGAAAGCACTATAATGATATTTGAGTTTTGAATGTTAAAGAAATATGAGAAATAAAACAACTCAGATTTCTTCTGATTTAATACAAGGAGGGGAAGTACAAGAGAATCTCTTCTTCAAAAGTAAAAGAAGCAGTACGGCCAGTTTTCATATCTGAGCAGTAAATATTTTAGAAATGGTTCACTGGCTATCTCAGATTGTGTTGATGTGTTTTTGTTATTATCTGTCCAAGTTGGCATTCTAGTTTTAGGGATTGTATCAGCAAAATGTTTATTCTCTGCCACCGCTTCCCAAAAGGAGATCTGATTTCTGGGGCATACTCCACTGAAATCACTGCAGAATCAGAGTGTGGGTGTGTGGACATCATACCTGTCTGAAGTTGTGTGTGATTACAAGTCAGTTTTAGTATCTTACGTGAAACAGGTCAGTAAACTCACCAGAGCAACAAAGACATGGAGGAAGGAAGTCTGGTCAGTGTTTCTTATGCAGTCCTCAGTCACCTAAATTTTCATCACTTCAGTATTTCAGCTGATCAAATCTGTAGTTCTTTGGGGATGCAGATCTGCTGTTTTTCAAGTTGTTTACCTAGGGAGCAAAAATCACCTAAATCATTTCCTGCAGGATTAAAGAACATGCCTTTGGTTTCAGAGGGAGTATGCTCAACTCTGTTGAAAGTCACAGCACTTGCTTAGGTTTCTGGGTTGGGATTTGGTGATATACCTATTACTCCAGCTAAGGAACTTTTAGTAGTTCTATCAATCCATTCAGTTATGCATAACCAGAGGTGTTTACATGCATATAAAACTAGACAATTGAAAGTCATTTTCAGACACATGCCTGTGCTATTCTGGCAAACCAGTATTACAAAGCTTACATAAACAGCCTGGTAAGTACTCTAGGACCACTCAATAGTTTCAATTACTATCAAGACTATAGCTTTAAGAATAATTGGGAGGCAAACTTCATTTTGCAATACAATGCATTTTAATTTGTTCTGCTTCCTTTTTGGTTTGATAATTATTTTAATGTTCTCTGAAACAGTACACACTGTTTTTGACTCATCTGTTTTGGAGGGAATGCAGACCAAGTGCCCTATCCCATGCAGCAGAGAACAACTGACTAGTGACTAGTAACACAAATTGATAATTTTGCTTTTTACAGCAATAGGGGTATAACTAGGTTTACATGGTAGGTAATGTATTTCTTGAACTGCAGCCTGTTTCTGCAGATGAAGCATGCTGTGCTGTTGTATGTGCTGTACATTTTAAAATCATTATCTTAAGGGTTTGGGATTTGTTTTAGTTTAATATTTGCTTGGGGGTGAGGGGGAAGGTTGGGTTCCATTATAATTTTTACACAATATTATTAAAGATTAAAATCTGGTGTTTGGGCAAACTTGTTTTATGACTGTCCCAACATTTCTCTCTCTAGCTGTAGCTGAAGTTCTAAATTAGTTGACTTCCTGTTAATACTGGAGCAGCTGAGCTTAATTTATCATGAATGTTAATGAAAAACACTTCAGAAAGTCTTATGTGTTCCTGTTGCATACAGATTTCATAATTTATTTCTGCAGTTGTGAGTACCGGAGGTTCTTGTATGTTCATCAGACTAGGAAAAAGGAGATGGGAACAAGCAACATGTGCCTGATCTCAGCCAGTCAGGGCAGCTCAACTGAAGAACTGTGCATATCTCACATGCACAGGAAATATCTTGAGAATAAAAGGCTCACCAAAAATGTATCAGATCGTATCACAGAGGTGTTGTAGCTGTGATGCTGTACAGATGTAAGAGCCCTGCTCAAGGTGTTTGGAAAGAATTTACTTTTTTTTTTTTTTTTCCCCAGTTGCTCTAGATGGCTGTTAAAAGTCATTATCTCTCCCCATGACCCTTTTCTCAAAGGGTGTTTGAGAAAATTGTAATCTGTTTACAGATTTACATATTTTTTTTCAGGAGGAAGTGTCTTTCAACTTGCAAATAATGTGCCAAGAACAGATTTCCTCCTTTCGTATTTTTTTTGGGGGGGAGGGGCCTTTTATGTTTTAGGTGGTGACAATGCTGCATAACTCCTGAACAAGTGATGAATTAAAACAATTTCCACAGATTTTTGTAATCTAAGTAGATATTCTTCAGTAAAATTATTTCAGCTAGTCTTTGTTGATTCATGTATTTATAAGTATGTGCTATGTACGTAGACTTGTAGTTCTTTTGCGTTTGGCTTTACTTATGGCTTCTGTCCAGTAGCAAAGGTGCTGAAATAACAACTGAGCCACGGTCGTTTGGTGGTTCTGATTTTAGCAGAGTGAGCCCTAGGAATCAACTAAATTATTTCTTTCTTTTATTTTCAAATATTAATACTGGAACACCCTTTAAAATGCATAGTAATAAAAAACAAGAACAAAAATATGCTCCAGTCAGACAAGAAGTAGTAGATGTATGGAGTAAAACAAGAACAACAACAGCAATAAATCAGAATTTTAGCTACAACAATATTTTACTCCAATTAAAAAAATTTACACCAAAAGATGTAACATGGGACACTCTAGCAAGGAAAGCTGGCTTTATTATAATAGTGAGTTTGTCAATGAAAATGGTTCTACGTTTTGTTAAGAATGCTTGAACAGTCTTCCACCTGTATCAAGTTTTTGCTTCAGTGACATCCTTGGTTAGTCATCACTCATGACTTATGACATAAATTATACCAATTTATTTTTTCTTCTTAATTTAATTGATAAAAATAATTTTAAATACACATTCCTAAGCACAATGATCCATTGCTTTTTTTTTTCATGTAAAGCTGTTCAGAATATGAAGAAGTGTGCACACATTGTTTACAACTATTCACTCATCTTGAACTGAATGTGAAAGGACTATTAATAACGTCAAACATATTTTCTTTGTGAGGGAGTAAAGGCTTAAAACTGAAGCTTTCTAGAGCTAGCTCAGCAAATTGCAAGGGAAATATGAGGTACTTTTAGCTAAGAGTTTTCATTGGAGTTCCTGAATCTTAGTATTTGTTCCTCCATCAAATACAGCAAGCCTTGTAACTAAAAGCTTGTTCCCCTTTTACACAAGATGTCTGTTTTTTTTTTTTTACAGGTATTTCTAGTGAGGAAGATTAAAGGATCTGATGCAGGTCAGCTTTATGCCATGAAGGTACTTAAGAAAGCAACTCTGAAAGGTAAGGATTGGGACAGTAGCTGCAGTACCCATTTCTGTGATAATTTATCATCTGCTTTGTGATAATTTATCATCTGCTTTTATTTTCTTGTCGGTGTTTTTTTGTTTGTTTGTTCGTTTGTTGTTTTTTTTTTTTTTTTTTTTTACATTGCTGTTGTTGTATGGTATATATCAGTGCAAAAATATGTTTCTGTCATCCTTGAAAATTCTGCCTAACGGTAGTGAATATTTTAGAGAAAGGTACACAGAAAATGTTACCTATATAGTTTGAGAGCATGAAAACAGAGCTTTGGTGTTTTCTAGCTGCTTGCATTCTTTACTTTCTTAGCATTACTTATAGGACTTCTATGGGGCATATATTAAGTTGTGTTAGAATGGCAGTATCTCTCTGTTTCTGAAGTAAACTGAAGCAATTATATATATATATATATATATAATAATTATTATTATTATTATTTTTAAATAAGGGTGTTGCTGAAGTAAAATGTGACTCCTATTGGGCAGGAAGGCCCTCCTGCTGGTGTTTCTCTACGTGCCTGAAAATTCATGGGAACATATTTTCAAGTGTGATGAGCTGTTCTGATTCTGTTTTGACATCTTGTTTTCCTAACTCATGAGTGTATGGCCTCCAGTAGGCTGAGGCCTAATGACTGTTGAATCTGATCATCTTCTTCTGGGATCATTGGCTGCTACCACCTCACTCAGACAAAAAGGAAGTGTCTAGTAAAGGGAGAGGACTGAATAGCAAACGTGGAAAATTTGATCTCAGCTGAAGTCCCTGTTGTTTGTTCCTCCAGAGAGTTAATAAGATCCACTCTTCTTCCTGTTTCCCTGACCTAGCACTGTACTGTTTTTAACCCTCAAATGTCTGACATGTTTTACAAATGAAGATGACAGGGTTCATTTTGCCCAAAGCAACTTTTCCACTTACTCTGAGACCATGAGGGTTTGCACAATGCAGAATCGTGCCTAAGTGTCTATTCTAATGTGAAGAGAGCGAATTTTGAGATAGTTCTTATGACTTATAAATCCAACTTTAGCATGCCTCAGTTTGAGGAAGTAAAACAGTGAAGTTACCGATAATTGCAAGGTAGAGTTTCAGAAGGAGGTGACAGGCAGATACAGCACCTCTTCTGAGCACTAGTTAAGATAGGGAAGTGGCAAACCAGGAATTTACAAGGTCGTTTACACTAGCAAAGCTTTTTCAAAGAAATAGTAACTTGAGGTGATGCTGTTGTGCTGATCTTTTTGTTTAGAAAGTAGATGGGAAAGTTTGTTCTGGCAGAAGAGAGGAGTGTAAATAGCCACTTAAATAGTTCTGGACTTAATATGTAGAAAGTAAAAGGTTAAGATTGTGTATACAGTATGTGTAATAGAGTGAACCTCTGATGTCTCACCCAATAGCAGAAGCACAAAGTGCTTTAACTGCACTGAACTTAACTCTCAGAGCTTTCCCCACCAGTGAAAGCTGTCTTCTGCAGAGCACAGCATCTGAGGAAGGACTGTGTGACCCCTCTGGTGTGAACTCATATCAGAGACTTATTTCTATTTCTCTTGAGAACCCACAACTTTTCATCTAAGGTGAAAATTGGGTAAAATTGCGTAATGTCTCTATCTCTTAGGTGTGTTTTTTTTTTTTTTTTTGTTTGTTTGTTTGTTTGTTTTCCTATAACTGAGGTGTGTTGAGCAAAACCAGTTTTGGATATGGAGAGGATTTCTTCTAGATTGTCAAATACTTTATTGTATCTTAATGTATAATAGCTACATCTGTAATGTTAGATTCCACTGGAAAAAAATAGCCTGTATTATGGGAGTTTTTTAGGAAATTTCAAAACTTAAATGGTGATCTTAAACTACTCAAAGTGGTTTCATCTCTGTTACATCTAGAATAATAAATACCTCCAGATGCCTGCTGTGTTTACAGTTCCTTAGTTCCTTATAGCATGGAGCTGGTGCCTCTGTCCTCCTTTGGCCTTTTACAACATAATGTGCGTGTATGTGTATATATATATATATATATATATATATATATAAATATATATATATATAAATTATTTCCTCAAACATGAGTGACAAGATCAAAAAACTAAGGCTGCTTTGTGATCTTTTCTGGATCACATTTCTCTCCCATTCAAACTCCTTACCCCTCTGACTGGTAACTGAAAGTTTCTCAATAATCTGACAATAACTAACACATTGGTAGGAACTAGTTTGTCTGCACTAGTTTCCACAGATAAGTTAAATTTAACAGCTATTTAACTTGAACTAGAAAAATGAATGCAAAATCCCATTGGCATAGGGCAAGTGAGAAGAGCAAAAATGAGAACTGCTGTCAGTGAACTTCCTTGTAACTTCTGGCACAGAGATCATATTTCTGACAGCTTAATTTCATCTCTTAAGTGAGAGTGCTGAATCGTTGCTGCCTACCTACACTCAAAAAGTCTGGAAGTCACTCCAATGTGAACTGTTTATTACCATGTCAAGTAATGGGAGCAAAGCCACAAGTACTTGTTAGCGTTGTGTTCACTATTTACTGACAAAAGACATGCTACAAGACAAATTTCTGAATAATTTTACTTCCTAATCTGTACTGCACAGTACAGTATGGAGCAAGAAAGCCAAAGCACCGGGAGCCAGTGCCACTGACACAGCCTCAAATATTTATTTTCTTTTCTTTAGCAAAGCAAATCTGTGAAACATAAAATGGAGAAATGAGAAGAAAGGAAGGGGGGAAAAAAGATGAGGGAACAAAACTGCTTTTTCTTTTCTGGAGTAGTCTGAAGAACCAAAATCCAGATAAATATGAATCTGAAGAAGTTAAATGCCCTCAGGAATGAAGAGTTAAAATTAGCTTTGCACTTGCTCTGAAGAACAACCATGATGGGTCTTGTAAAAGTGTCTCCCAGCCCCGTAGCCTGACTCTGGCATTGACCAGCTGAGAATGTGTAAGAAGTACAAAATAGTGCTTCCTCCAGTGGGTCTGCTGCCTCCTGCCTCTCCCCAAAGTACTTGTCCTTTTCTAATTAATATGACCAATGAAAATTCACCAACAGAAAAGGCTAGTTTAAAAAGGTTACAGCAATCTGTAGCAGCATTCTCCAAACATTTGCAGCCCAAATAAGCCGTTTGATACAAAAAAAGGCGTTTGTAGATTCAAGCTTGAAGAAGATCTGCCAAATAGCAGAGCAACTCCAGCTGTGAAAGTAGAATTAAAATCCAAAGTATTCCAGTTTAAGTTTGCTGAGGTACATGCTGTAGTCATAAACATTTGTGAAAATAAAATTAATCTTTACCTTATGAAAGTTTATATTAAATGTAAACTATATTTGAATAAACACCGATAGGAGCATTGGGTGCTTGAAAATGAGAAAGCCATTGCTCCTGTTGGTTATAAATGAAAACACCAACACAAGTTTCTCTCCTTCACACTTCATTTCCTTTTGCAAGAGGTTGTGTTTTTTTGTTTGTTTGTTTGTTTTTGAAGGGAACTCCCTGGAGAAACTAGATGAGAGTTTCTTTCTAAATACTGATTTTAGGAAAACCTTGTCAAAAAATTTTGAGAATATTATGTCTGTTAGGTAGCAGATGGGGAATACCTTGTATTAAAATGCTGAATGTATGTGTTTAAGTCTAACGTTTCTCAGTTTGAAATGGTTTTCATTAAAATGCAATATCCTAATACCATCCTTTGCAAATATAAACCCTTACTGGGGAGTCCAGATGCTGAAAAATATTTAAGCACTTAGATACCTTTCAAGGTGAGACTGTTGTCTGGTAGAACATCATCAGATTATACTGTTAAATGTTATCTTAAAATGTTGTTTTCATGTCTTCATTGCACTCTTTTTTTTTTTTTTTTCTTGAAAATGAGTTTTTAGATTAAAAAAAGCAAGTTAATTAAATGGAACTTGAGTCAAGTGAGTGTTGACTGCCTGCCCTGAATGTACTGGGAAATTGAGGAAATGGGAAGAAAACAGGGACTGTCCATATGTATGTGCCTTGTATTCTCCAGCAAAACTGAGACAGAGGGAAAGGGCAGGCTTATTATTTTGATTAACTCAGTATTTCTCTCAAGGTGTCTCAGGCTCCATCAACTTTACTGGAAGTGCTTCAGGATTCCATAAACAAGAGCTGTTTACATTGCTTACAATGTAAGCCTCATTAAGCACACGAGAAATGTTTGTAAATCCCCCACAGATGCTGGGCTGCAATAGAAGTGTTACCTCTGGAGCTTGAAAATTTAAGACCTATCCCTCCAGGAGATATGTAATCTTACAGAAAGTGGCATGAAACCATAATTCACTGATATAATGCTTCTGAACTTTGTAAATATTACAGTGAGGACGTATGATCTAGCAGAAGTTATGTGGTGGGTCACAAGGAAGTAGTCTGCATCTGCCCATCTTGTTAGTAATGAGCTCTGTAAATCTCAGAACTGTTTGACAATGAGAACTGAGAGATTCTACCTGTTTCTGCTTATGGGGTTTAGAAACGATAATCTGTTTTGTCAAAAGCTCTGGAGTGCTTTGCAGTTTATGATCCCCCTCAGACTAAGCCAATAGGCTTATGGGTTTATAGTTGTGCTGACTGTGTATGATGTTTATAGATGCAGTAAGCTCTGCGAGCAGTTCTGCTGACTCACAGAGAGCTTTCCCTGTGTTTTCGGGGGACATTAGGTCATTGATAATAATTATATACTAAATTTAACAACTAACTGAGATGTCACCAGCTGGACTGCGATTTCCATCCAAACCATTGATAAAACTGTAGTAGTGGTTTTCCTGCTTGGGCATCAGCTGAAGAGGCTTCTTCACTTTTCCCCTTCATGTTACTGCTTGTTGTGTTTAGATCTAAGCCATTGAAAACTAGTGGTTTCCCTCTGGTTTGAAAGGAACAAAAATGCAAAAAAATCTAAGGGCAAGTTAACTTCATGAGGCGGGACTTACAAAGAGCCTTCATCTCAGATCTTAGATCTACAGTGCTCAGGCTCTCAAGGTGTCA